CATGCCCAGCAGCACTGAGAATCTAAAATCTAGGTGGGTGACCACTGCAACCTTTCGTTACACTTGCTGTTCATGGTATGAGGAGATGAAATCACGAGCCAGGCATTATGACTGTTGGAAAGCAAAAGTGGATGTGTGATGGGCACTGAGGAATCTAGGTGCACGTAACACAAACGCAAAGTCATGGCTGGGGACGAACTCGAACAGCTGACCACTGTAATTTGCCTTCCACAAATTTACAACAGAGCCTCTTGACCGGTGGCATCAACATCTGGTCCAATGCGGAATTAACATACGGGTCTCACTAATGTCGGTGAGGGGGTCTCCGCTGCTAATCCATTAGACAGTAGTGGGGCGAGTAAGCTGTAAAGTTCGGGTGCATGAACAAGAGTGTGAACACGCTCACCTGTTCAGGCGAGAAAACTCGGGTGTCCAGCGTGCACTGGTGAAATGTGGAAACACTCGCCTAGCAAGCCAGATGTGCTGAGTCCAAACCCCGGCATGGCCATTGGATATGCACTGGTGATGAGCCCTAATAAGAGTGAAACTCGAGACCTTTTAGTGTGGACTCACCAGAATAAGTGCGCCAGGATGAAAAGAAGACTTTCAAGCGAAAGCTATATGAACCTAAATTAAGGTGCATAAGTGTGACGAAGGGCTAGCGCCCTCGCTATCTTGGACAGTGGAAGTTAAGTCCGGTGTAACAGAGAGGTCAACCAACGGTTCGAATCCATCCCCACGTTCATGCTCCATGTAGTTGCGCCTCTACTTTCGACACTCAAAATTCTGCGGTCATCAAAAACGCTCTAACCACTGACCCATCCCGGCCCCACTCAAAGCAGAAACTAACGATACAATAACTGACTTCCGCTACTTCACCAGCGCGCATTGGAAATCCTGCAAAAGGGCATACATGGACACACAAACTCACCACAAGATCGAATTTTGTCAAACGCCCGTGAGTTTGTTGACTGATTCAACTTTGCGGTACGCAAATCATACAGGTGTAAGGCATAAGAATCCCTCGGTTTCCGCCATTCTCCACTTATAGTTTTCCGATCCGTACAACAAACAGAACCGGACGAGCTGCAGCCTACAAACGGTTTTCTTAACAGGAACGATGATATTGTGTCAATGCGAACAGAAGCCTGCTAAGGCTTCGTCATCAATCGAGATGATACCGCCAATGTATAATGGTGTAACGGAGAGTCATGGTCCAGCCGTACACCCTGAACTTCTTTACTCGACTAGGCCTACTCACAATGTTCGCTTACAACCATAAAGTTTCTGTCTGTTCACTTTCAATCTGTTATTACCAGCCTACAGGTCAAAAGTAGCGTAGAACTTCCGTCCGACTAGTTCAAGTTCCGAATTTCCCCCAGGATTCACAAAACGCACATCATCGACAAATCACGAATAGGTGTTGTATACATCTCACTTTCTTAAGACAAGAAGTAAAAATCACAACTTCAAATCCCCCCCTACTAGTTACAAGATCCTAGCTTTGGAAAATGTTGATAAGACATTTTTCCCGCAACAGAAAGGCAAAATGTGTGAGATGTCAACCCCGTTTCTCAAACGTTCGGGAAAACATGAATGAATTCAAATTGACAGAGTCGAACTAATTAAATGCAAACCGACCAATGGGACAGATCCAGGACAAATCGATCGATCGAAACAGCGTCGCTCAGATGCCTAAAATGAGTTTAATCAATAATATTACCGGTACCGAATACGTGTCAAATGACTGTTGTCCCAAAAGAAAGGAAAATGTGGATGAAGTAGTGGAATAAACAAGCAAGACAAAAATGGAGAAGCTCAGGAAAGTGTTTCTGTGACGATAACCGACTGAAACCAATAGAATTCAATAAATGAAAGTTGAAGAATAAGATTGAGTGCTGATCGAACATGCGAGAACCACGGTCTCTAGGGCAAGAATGGTGCCAGGTCTCCAGTTTCTGCCAATCGGATATTAAATCAGACCGACTGGCACAAGCTGTTAGAATGAACGCGTCAGGCAGCTACTTAGTGTACCGTTGGTCAGAAAGTGCCGATATAATGAGGAAAGCCATTCGTGGAACTTTGGGAGAACCACAGACTACTCGCATGCCTCATCAGTAGTATCCGCTGGTACCACGAAAGAAACCTATGCACTACAGCACATATCGTTTGGTGAGTGGTTAGCGTGCACAAAACGATATATTCTCGAAAAGATAAACATACTTCCAGAATCGGCTGACGTCATTATCCTGAGCCCAGTCAGAGCTGGGTACCGTGGTCCCTGACTTGTCGACCTCGCTGAGACCTGGATAATGTAGAAATGGTGAACAATTCTGAACACAGGTACGGGGCCTGTGACAACAAGGCGAACCTAATGTGCAAAGAGAGCCCTATAGTATCAATGAGACCCCCATTTGGGGCTTGTAATGTAGTGCCTACTGACGGACTTCCAGATACGGAAAAGAATGTATAGGCTTTATAAAACACGCGGAAGACCATAGATGCTTCGTGGTTAGTGTCCGAAATAGCCGCACACTTCGATCGAGACTTCGAGACTATCATGTCGCACCTGCAAACGCTCAGGCAAAACAGCAGCCAACCAATAATTCAAAGCGAAACAGTGACACAGGTAAGGACAGTAACCAGATCTGAAGAAATGGGCCAAGCGAGCCCATTACGTCTGCTTTGCTGTAGGCTGTAAATTCACTGTCGCAAGCATGAAATGGGTAAACATCACATAAGAGCCTGTTTCGCTTCCCATATAGCGGCTGACTGAATATCTGGGTCCATGTGACATTGGCCTTACTCAGGGAGGTGGACACAGTGGTATCGTCGCTTCAGTCCCACAACGCCTGAAGCTGCCAAGCTTTGCTTAGTTGGATGCATAAACCGAGCTTAATCGTCACCTCAAGTGTCAGGGTGGTAAGTCCTCACTGCATGTACGTAATGCACACAATATCAGACAACCGGGCCACAGGATATGAGCTGAGTGTGACCTTGTAACTTGTCCCGTGTCCGCAATGCATGTATTACGTGCAGGAGCTGAGCTGTCAACTGGATGCACAAACCGTGTACGGCTATGACACATCATTTCACTTTCCAATAATGCGATCTAGATGGATCGAATGATCAGTGACTTTCAACAAATAAATCTTTCTATACGTCATTCAGACAAGTATGCAGTGTAAAGGATGCCCACAGCTTCGGTTGAGCTGATATTCAGAATAGGGGATTGTTTTTTTTTCGGTAAAAGCAACAAGATCGGAGTCAGTCGATAGTGCCAAGAATTGCTTGAGACAAGCCCGTAGGACGTTTGCTCTTGACAAGTTGACAACACTTGCCACTTGTCGCTAAAGATAATACACAACAGAAAAATGATTTCGAAAAACACAGTCATGTGGAACAACCAATGAAATCCCGAAACGCACTGCTTCTGGTGGGAGTCAGCCGATAGTGCCGAGAATTGCTTGAGACAAGCCCGTAGGACGTTTGCTCTTGACAAGTTGACAACACTTGCCACTTGTCGCTAAAAATAATACACAACAGAAAAATGATTTCGAAAAACACAGTCATGTGGAACAACCAATGAAATCCCGAAACGCACTGCTTCTGGTGGGAGAGGAGAACAGCGTATGTATTAGCAATGGATGGTAACAACCATTTGCGGTCTTCCGATTCTCTTTTTAAATCCATGTTTTTTGCTACACAATGGACGTAAAATCACTGTGTACGTTTTGAACACAAAAGGATATCGCTTCCGACCCTACTAGTGTTTATTCTGCGTTCTTGGGGCCAAAATAGTCTAGAAAAGACAAGGAATTTCATCTAACCCAGTAACTCGGTCAGAGCGGTTTATTCGAACCCAAGCAACAGACTTCAGTTTGGTCATCGCAGTCTCATCACACAAGTTGAACGCCACCGTGAGAACTTAACGTGTTACGGGAACTTAGCTCTAACGGCGCTAATGGAAAAAGACCCTCGTATTTGCAAACAACTCACTTCGGTAAACCCGCCACATGGCACCAATAAATTCGTTTAAAAGGCTTGTTCCAATCTTCATGACACCATCACTATAGTCTGGCAACGCGAGAAACATGCGTTTGATTTCGACCAGGCACTCGTCCACACATAGGGCTGTCTGAAACGGTACACAGCAATAGAAACGCCATGAAGAGAAGATCAAAGAAACACCGGGAATCGTTTCCATGGAAGCGAAGAAAGTAGGCTGAGACGGAAGTTAACAGGGAAAACAGCTCCGTGGGCGGTCATGTCAACCTTGGGATTGCTGCACCGTGGTACAACAGACATCGGATCGGTAACTTCGATGCTTTGTTACAACAGACAGGAGGAGGAAGGACACGAGCAAAAATATAATATAATACATTCATTTAGCTGCAGTACTCTTTCATGGCCTAGATGCCACGCCCCGCAGAGAAGACACTAGGAGTGAGATACTGCCAGATTGCTCCAGCCCAGACAGGAGTAGTCGAGGTGCTGAGGTTGGGTTCGAACCAAGGACCGTCCAGTTAGTAAGTTCGCGCCTTAACCGCTGAGCTCAAGGTCAAGGGTAGTTTTTTCACGTGGACCCGAAATTCACAAAATCACTCAAAACAACAACTGGTCAAATTCCAGTGTAAATTTCATTTCGCTAGCCGTACCGAAAAGCGGAAATCGAACGGCCGTTTGATCTTACCTGAGATTGTCAGTACTTAGTATGTGTGGATTCAAACCAGATACCAGTTAAATAACTGGGGGGACTGGCCTGTGATATAAACGGTACTCAGGCAAAAGCCCACAAGAATACTACTGATCAGCCACCACAAATAAAGGATAGAATGTTCGGAGCCTGTGGAACTCGAATCAATAAGGATGAGACAGCCAGACGATGATCCTTGATTTCTATCATAGCCGTGCATAAGTATACAATCGAACTGGTCAGGTTTTCTGGTTGAATTTACTGCATAATTAAATCTCATGGGTTGGTAAACAACGAACTGACGAGGGAAATGTTGATAGCTCAAATTGTGTAGATATCGGGCTCAGTGAACACAATACCAACGCAAGTCAAATCAGTGTAACTGCAAAGCACGCATGCGTTCGTTTACACGCACACGCACACACAAACCAGAGTGGCCAAGTTTAGTGTCCCCGCAGGGTACGGAAATCAGAAGATGGAATGAAGCAGGGATAAATTAGATACAACCAACTCACCATTAGGATGGGACGATTTAAACCGAGTTCACGTTCAACTTGTTGAGAAACCACCGAGTTAAGGGAGTCCGGTGCTACGAAGAAAACGGGAAGAGTGATAATGAAAAACGGTATGAGCGTTGTTTAGCCGATGGTTGTGACGAAAAAATGTCTTGGGTCGATGGCAAGCATCGTCAGTTTCGAATAACATGCTGGTAGGTTGGTGATCCTCAGTAGAAAACGTTTCAATTCAGCGGATTCAGTGAACCACATTGACAACGTACACTGTATCCAAACTACCGTAATTTACTTAAAAAGAGGTAGCTCATCAGACTCAAAATGTAATCGCCCCTAGAAAATAACCCACCGCGGACTGATTGGAATTCAGTAGGTGGATGTAGCAGAATCAGTCGTGTATCTTTCTGATTACCAGTTTCATCTTTCACCGGATCACCAGCGACCGGTGACCACATCTGTGGGTAAGGTGATCAAGAAATGCATTGATTTTTTGAATCATCAATGGAGTTGATAGGACAGCTGATTATACCTGAGTACTCAAGTGCACACTATTGGCTTTTTCACAAATCCGATGGGAGATCCTGCAAAGACAAGCCTGAACCACCGATCGTAATCAACACAAAACGGGTCACTTGCCAGGACTACCCAGGTTGTCTCCTTCAAACCGAAGTCTCCCCAGATTCTCCAAAACGATACAAGAAACTATAAGAATGACTGTTCCAAGATTTTCCAAAGGATTTTTGGAACTAGCAGAAGCTATATNGTCAGCGGACTGATCGAATCGCACTTGAACAGGCACCACGCATACTTCAATTGTACGTAGTCGTCATCATCATCTTGTCACATGGTGACTCGAGTGCCTTTTCAGGTGGGAGTCCATGGAACTTATTGGGTGTTTTGCAGATCACGTATTGTTTGATGGCAGAATATAGGGTGACTTAGGTGTCGATTGTGACTTTAATTTACCTGGATGTGTAAGCAAAATGCCTCTGTTCTTGTTTCTAGGATAGCAGTTCCCGACCGTCTATCAGAAAATCCACCGAAATACTGTCAGTTTTTCCTGTTTACCGTTTAGGCCCATGGCGCCTAATCGATAAAGCTGTGGCGCAGGAAAATTCTCACTGGTGGGGAATACGACGATCTCCATAGTGGATTATTACCATCGGCTCGCAGTCAATACAGAATCGCCTCTTTCGGGAAGGACCGATAGAAGAAAGGGTCCCTGGTGGCAAAGTATCATCGCAATAACGAAGCAGCCTTAGGGCATCATCCATCCGAGCCAACCACTCAAAAAAGAAATTCAAGGACGACTGTAAACAGTTAAACAAAACTAGTGAGAGAGGTCTCAGACAACACTAATAACGCGTGCTGTTCGGTGAGCAAATGCAATCAAGTTAAACTGCTATCAACAGTGACCAACAGAACTTGCATCTACTGACATTGGCGACGGGGATCTATTTAATTAGTGTAAATAAAACCCCAGCACGATAGCATTAGTTCGCAGTCGATGAAACGCAACCTCTGTTGTGACGCTTTACCAGCACATTCCATACAGTCGTTTAGACACAGCTAGGGGCTGCATCCATCTATGCTATCACTGTGAACACAAAAATAACCTACAGATGTTTACCTCGCAGTAGGATAGGGGTCAGTTGGTAGCCGCTTCCAAAGTACGTCAAGATAAACACAACTCAGCCACAAACGTTTGATTACTGACTCACCACTTATCAATCAGATGAAACTAGAGGGCCATATTTATTGCAACCATAAAACCCTGTGAATAACCCTCATCAGAGCTGCAAGTTGATTCTGACTAAGCGACATTGGTTGAAGGTGTGTGGGATGGATCAAACTACTTTTTCTCCTGAGAGGACAACAGGACCGTCCAACAAACGGACGGTAACAATAATTGCTGGAATATATCGCATTGGTTGACGGGGTGACTTGCCTGAGGAACTGAGCTGCAGCAAAAGGCACTATCCCCAGTTTATTATAGCTCACCTGAGAGGCTTCGTTGTAGTTTCCGACGTAATGCACCCAGCGCCCCGGGCAAGAAAGTTGTGTCGATGAAGTTCATGAGGTACATCCGTAGAAGTGAGAGACGCTTGACTGATGTGGGACTGGTGCTGAAAAGAAAAAGGGGGTTAACAAATAATTCAAGTAAATATGAGTGACGAGAACTTGATCTTGAAAGGTAGCGGAAGTTGGTACCATGGCTAACTAAAGAATCGATGAATCCATGTCGTGACTAGGTATGTGGAGGCATTGCCTTATGCAGAGGGACATTTGTTAGAATGACAACTACACATGGGTTTTTGTCTACAGAATTTCCGAAAGGCGAGGGTTTTGACGAATGTCACTGCTCGCTTTGCAAAACAGTATCCGCAGTGGTTTTGGGATAACTAGATAGCGGCAAATCCGGGGTCCAAGCGTGTTCGAGAAAACCTTAGTCAATGTTGAAGTGTAACTCCCTGTGTCTAGTTTGGTCAGCTATTCTTATACTAGTGGCAAACAAAGTAACGATTTCAACTTCGAAATAATCTAACCAGGAGGTCATGCTGCGTGTTTCGTTTGAAAGGTTGACGTTTGCAACACAAGGGCTTCACGCAGAGTCCCTATGCCATGAAAATAAGTTCCGTTTTGAAGTGAAGCCAGTTATGAGTATTATGTTCACTGTTAAATTAACGGAATGCCAGGTTCATGTCACTACGAAAATGTCACCTTAACCCCAAGGCTATCTGACACGAATCTTCACTCGCGTTTCATTCTCCTCGTGTGATGTTTTGCTTCATTTTCACCGAGGACAGAGGTAGATTGTTTTTCTTATTGAATTCACAGCTGAAACCAATGAATGACTGAATGAACTGATTTCACCTGAAGGTGAGATTTGTTTCACTGAAACAACTTTAACGCGCATCGCGAATTGCTTAAATGTAGCATGACCGCATCACTTTAGACGCACAAAGTAACATCGTGAAGCATGAATCGAGACGTGGATGTTACGGACTTTCGAGGGGTTACCAGCTATTAACGCTCCGCCTAATGATGAAAAAAATGAGATAGAAACCGACAGCAAGCAGAACAGCGGGATCATTCAACGTTTGCAGTCGCAACCCGAACAAAGCAACTCTTTTCTGAAGGCAGGCCACCATAGGGAACGAGCTTCCTAGGATGGTGGCCCATCATTACAATACAAAGTGCAAACATCCAGAATAGACATGGGCTTCCACAAATGATCGCTTTGAGAACAACTTCTTTCGTTACTCTTCGACTGAGTTGGTCTCCTGATATAAACACAGCACAACTCATGTAGAATGCGCCTTCTTGATTTTAAACACAGACATCAGTTGTTGCTTCAACATAAGCTGCTTGAGTCACTGGGATCCCCAAACAGCACCTGTTAATGCCAGTCCTTGATCCTTTCTTGCTTTGGTTTCCCTTTTTTCAAAACTCATCTATCGCCATCCCCAATTCATTCATCTTAGTATCAGCGATACCGTAATCCTAAGCAAAAAAAACGAACTACAAAAACACTCAGTATTGTGCACGAAAAAGCTGCCAAGGGAAAGTCAGCTCCCATCTTAGATTTAGCTAGTTGCAGCGTCACGTTGCACGTCTTGCAACTCGAATCTTACTCAACTCTCCAAAAAAGTGTACCCCAAGCAGACTTTGGCCGTCATCATCATCACTAACAGCAATGCAACGGTAATACACACTGGCGCTTAGTTGCCATACAACCACGAGGGAAGAAAGCCGTGGTGAACAGTGAAAAAAGGGAGATAGAAAGACTAAGTGAGAAGAAGCTCTACGTGATCGAAGAAAAAGATTAAGAATACGGTGAATAAAGCTTTGCGCAGCACTAAAGTGGACAAATCTGAGCATTAGGTCGGAGTAAGACGGTTAAGAACCTAACCCGACACAAGCCCAGCGCACCACGGCAGGCAAACTTTGGCTAGACAATCCGACTAGGAAATGACAGCATTTGTGCCACTGCGATCCGTTGTGTACCACGTCTTGCAGGGTTTCCAACTACCGGCAAGCAGACTGTTCAACGACGAAAAAAGAGGTGCACTCGGAATGTATTTAAACTTCAAAGACTACTCGCCGATAAGGTCGACGAAGACTCTGGGCAGCTTCGTATCGGTTTAGCTTCCTTGAGACACATCGGGGAAGGCCTAGGTCCAAAATCCAACTCAACCTTACTTCCCACTCGGACACTTGCTGGTATTCTGACTTGGGAGACTGGGTCTCATGTATCGTCGTAGCATGCAGCATGAAGACTGACTGTTCAGCTTTAACATTCTTTCGATCGATAGCTGCTATGTCACCTAGAGGAAGCACGAGGACTAAGCTACAAGATTGCCCAAACCTAGACAGCAGCAGTCTACACGCCAAAGCTGGATTCCAACCACGGACCTATCGTCGGAGCTATCTTGAGTTCCGTAGACAGGAGATGGCAAATTCGCAGCGAAGTGGCGTGTAAACCAGTAATGAATCAGGTTCACCAGACAAGCAGACAGGGTTCATCAGGTCTAACTACTGTTGTCCTCCATTCAGGACCCTAGCTGGCAAAAATTCATCAAAGAACAGGTGGTGTGAAGAGAAAGTAACTGCATCTAAACAGAGTTCCGTGAGATTTTCGCGCTCCTTGGCGTCGGTCCGTACACACTGTTGAATACGCTGCAGGACATCATAGATCTTATCAATTAGCATATCATCACTTCCTATCCAGTCCACCAAACCAACGCTTGTCTGTTGATTTGGGTTTGTGCTGAGTCAGGTTAGCAATAGTTGCTAGGTCAATCCTGATAAGATGCTCAGGTATAATTGCTTCAACGCTGCTCGAACGCATAGTCACTTCCCAACCCCTTGATCACCCTATGAGAAAATTCGGCCTTTTGCACCATTCCCATATGGCCGATCAGCCGACGAAGTTAACTTCTTTGTTCTCTGCACGCCTATTTAAAACAACGACCTCGTGATGGCTCAGTGATTAACGCACGAACTTACCGACCGGAAGGCCCGTGGTCCGACGAACCCAACCCCTGCATCTCGGCTGCTCCTATCTAGGCTTGAGAAACCTAGCGGTATCTCGGCCTCCGTACTTCCTTCGAGTGGCACCGGAAAGGTACTGCACCTGAATCATTACCATTATTATTATTCCGGTCACCCACAGGCAGGTGTTTTCAAGTCGCTCTTCTTCGACTTTTCCGATCTGACAAATGATGCCTTGACTCCAAATGGTGACCATCAGTGCGTCCTGCTGGTATACGAAGTCCCTTCCCATAGGGCTCAGTTTCCGACACCAGTGCACGAATGCGAACCTACGACGTAGCTGTCTTGATTGTCTAAAGGTGTTTCACTACATCTTACCTGAATTACCTACGTAACGGTGATGCTACTGATGGGGAGGCACGCAAGTAGTATGTTTTGCTCTTGTTAATTCAATTTGCGTCTCTTGAAAAGGGGAGATCTCCTGCGGAATTTGTGGAGTCGCTTTGTAACATTTGCTTGGATTTGAGCGAGAAATGATGGGAGTCAATGAATCTCCAGGAAATTTCAAGAAGACGCGTTCAGGAGAAGATGGATGTCCAGTTTTTGTAAGATGCAAATTAGAGTTTTGCTTCCCTGTCCAATGGTCTGTAACCAGTCAGTTGACATTTCCTAATAAATAACTCCGCAGCGAAGGCCCCCTTCCTTTCATTTGGTGCCGTGACCAGAATGAGGATAAAGATTCCGTGGCCGCAACCCTTTAACGATGGGGATGTTCGGAACTTCCTGGAGGACTTTGGGGAGGTTGCGGAGGCTGCCGGACTGGAGACCGACCGGAGTAAGTTGGCGGCGCTGAAAACCCTCAGGGGCCGAGCGAAGGCGGCCCTGGATACGGCCAGAAGAGGCCCTCAGAAGATGGACTGGGCCGCCGCGAAGGAAGTCCTTGCAGAGGAGTTCGACACACCGGCCGACCGCCAGGAGGCTAAAGGGCGGTTCAAGGCGGCCAGGATGGCACCCGGATCTAACCCGACCGTGTTCTTCGCCGGCCTGCAGCAGTCGTTGGATCGCACTTTACCGGTGCTGGACGGAGTGTCGCGCCACCAGTTGCTGTCGGACCAGTTCGTCGAAGGTGTGCAGCCGGCGCTCGGTGCCCAGTTGCGGTTGGCACGAGCAAATGGCCAGCTGAGTGTGGAGGAACTGAACGCGTCTTCTTGAACTGTCCTGGAGATTCATTGACCCCAATCATTCCTCGCTCAAATCCAAGCAAATGTTACAAAGCGACTCCACAAATTCCGCAACAGATCTCCCCTTTTCAAAAGAGGCAAAGCTAAATTCCACGAACAACACATACTACTCGCATGCCTTCCCGTCAGTAGTACCACCGTTACACCTACACCCTGGTGAATTGCTGCAAGCGCCCAATCTTAGTCACCTCGGAATCTAACAATTGCAGTTACGAATAACATTTTCGCAGTCGTCATTACAATTATAACTATTGTTTAACTTTGTAACTGATTAAGAAATTATCGTTTTTTCGGAAAAGTTTGGGGAATAATCGCTAGCTTTATTGCTGGAAAACGTTTTACTTTTGACACAAAGGTTTCGTCAGGCCAAGTGACTAGGTTACGAGGAAAGAGAACTGATCAGCTAAGTCGAGCCAAATCTCTGTTAGGTGTCGATCAGGGGATTTTGTGTGTTAGGGTGGGTGGCCAACTGTTAGGCCGATGGGGAGACCTATATGGATTTGGGTTCAGCTTAGGACCTAGTTCTTCCGGTTCGGTTCACCTGACGATCCCTCTTGAACGCCGTTTACACTTTTCAAAAGAACGATAGCTATTGTTGTTGTTAGTATTGTTGTAGTCTGAGGTTAGTCACTATCTGAGTGATTGAAGTAAAGTATCCCGACCAAGTCAAAGAATCCATAGGAGGTTGCCTAAAGCTACCGTGTTTTATGATATAACATGATGGGTAGAACAGGACGCCAAGGACCAACATAGGGATCGCAATACTGCCAATAAGATTGGCCAGCTGTAGCACTTTTTCGGTGCCTAAATTCCACGTCACCAGAAAGAGGCACGATGACTGGGATAAAGCCAGATTAACCAAGCCTAGACAGGGGAAGTCGAGAGGCAGAGGTCAGGTTCGAAACACGGACTCTCTGGTCAGTAATTTCGCGCTCTAACTTGCGACGGGGATAGAAAAAATTTCCCAACGCAACCGAAATTACCGGTCAAGAATTTCAGGCTCTATTGTTCGGTTATAGAGTCATCACTTCTGGGTTGACTCTAAAAGGCAGAGTCCTGGAATACAACATCAAGCCGTACTAGCAATACACAGCTGCCATATAAACCGAACCAAAACAAGTTTCCTAAACCGGATAGGAAGAAATGGATAGATTCGAACCAGGGTTCTTCAGTAAGCAGCACGCATAATAAACCCAAGACTAACTCTAGCTAGTTAGGAGCAGACAAGAGACGCATTGACTGCCAACTACAGTGAGATATGCTACCTCGTGTACAGAAAGGCGTTCATCACGGACGGCTCCGAACGGTTAGAACTCGTGCGGGAAATACCAGTTGGAAAGAAAACGCTGGATAATGATGAGCAACACTTCAACATCATCATGGGCCAGAAATTGGTTACCAACATTTGAAAAGAAAATTTCAAGACGTTGGAAAAAGCTTTTAACAATGGACCGCGAGAACTATTGACTGCTGTACACTCCAGAGTTCGTTCTAGCTAGATGATTGATGAAGCGCATTCAATGGTTCTCGGAGAATACCACATACGGACCCCACCGGGAGTGTGAACGCTGTGAGCCCAAAACAATAAACGAAAAGAGGCAGACACTCACTTCTCCGCATGATTTTCCACTATATTCATCTCGTTCTCAGCAGCCGCCACAAACTCCATCACCTGTCTGTACACGCTCGTAATATTGTCATAGGAGGGTCGGCACACCAACGGGTAAGAGGCCTCACTGGCCGACGGGTCGTTCGGTGAGGTACTCACATCTGTTTCGTTCTGAATAATGAACGGGAATGAGGAAAGCAAAATGAAATGACCAAAAATCATTTGAACACTGCACACTAGCCTAATTTAAGACACAAAAAGCGATGAAAGTTGGAATTGAAGGGCTTTCCAACTTTGCTATAATCTCAACCAGGATCTTCGATCAGGACTAGCTTGAGTTGATTTTGATCCATCGGGCTTGTGGAAACGCATGACACACGACATGTGTGTAACTTTTACTATACTGCACGAGTCACCTTTAAAATATAGAATCAGTTGAGATAGGCATGTTCAAGGGGAAACCAGTTCAACTGAAGAGGTATGATAACAGAGAAACAATAACAGTGAAACAGTGATAACATGTGAAATCCCTTCACAAGGAGCGACAACTCTCTCAGAAGAGCTGTCCCCGCTGCTGAGCGGATTACTGTGGCCACTTCGAAGGCCTCTTTTCGTGAAGGGTGGAAGAGAGTCAGAGGCGGTCAATGACTTGGCAGCGAAGTATAAGAGCCATTACCAGCAAACTCAGCTGCGCTGGTCATTGCCGTCTTCCTGGATGGGGACCCTGAGACAGGCCATATCAATGGTTAGAGACATTGTCAGACATGGCCCAGTCGCGCCCTCAATGGCGCTCATGCATCCAAGCTATTGCCTTCAATGCATAGCACCCTGAACAGTCCACTTACAGTGCTGTACTTATGCACTTATTTATCAACTCCTGCCTCCAATGCGCAGCTACCTACCCCACCTCCCCGAATCATCGGTGAACGAAACTGTAGCAGCTACAACCACTGTACGACAAGTACGCAGTTATTACAGCTGACAATGATGATGATGACTTCGAAGGGCAAGGATCGTATACTGCTACGTGTCTAACGGAAACTTGCTGTGGACTCCAAGTGAGTGGCTTCCGTTCAAAATGATATTTCTTTGAGGTGTTTTGTAGCATCAGAATACTAATTAAAATGACATAGACAGCAAGTTCTTCGTCATACGATGTGACTCTCGAAGACCACCATTTCAGTCAAATAATAAATGGGGTGTAACTAGTGATCAAATTCGTCCCACAAGTGGAACTTACGAACAGTCGATGTTCGCGCATATACGAGTTCACACTGAGAAAGTGCGACGTGTTAGAGAAACTGAACAGCTCCACACCGGGCGTCTTCACATCGCCCGCTCCAACAACACCGGAACCGCCGGATGCCGGAGTTCCTGCCACGGAATCAGGCCTGAATGAGGGGGTGGCAATCGAGGCAGCAGATGCCAGATTGAATGGGCCCACACGTCTCCGGCCCATCAGGCTGTTCAAATCCAAGCGACTAATATCCACAGATCCAACTGTCGTCGAAACTGCCGAGGTGGTAGACGTGGTCATTGGATTACCTGCGATCTGATCAGAAGATTGCTGATCCAAGTGTACGGATAGTACAAGTTCGATCTGCGTGAGGAAGGAACACGGATGAACCGGTAGAAAAACAACAATAAAGATGTACACATTTGGTCAAAACATGTAGTACTGCGAACAGTTGTTTCGCTATAGTCGGCGAGTACAATTATAGATCTGAATGAGAACGCGATAAACTGAGACGCGAATAAGAGGCTGGTCATGACTGATCGGAGTTAACGGTGAAGTCTTTGGTAACACAGGGAGGTTTGACCAAGTCCAATAGCGATCAAACGAATGTAATTCGATGGGTAACATGGAAACGATTGAGTGGTACTCGATGAATTGATTGGATGAAATTAAGGAATACCACTGCGTCATTAAAACTTGCAATAGCACAGAGAATAAACTGCTGTTTCAAGACTACTAAGCTACTTCTTTCGCATGAGAACCATATACAACTCCTTAGATGATAAACGAAATTTCCTATTTAAAGGCTGTCTACAAATCGATTTCACCACTAAGGCGGAGATGCCTGGTTGTTGTAGAAAAATAGATATCACTTAATATCTCCAATCCGACTAAGTTGTGTTCATTTCTTCCGGAAAAACTGAAACTATCGAGCGGTTCTGTGTCCAATTTGTGAAAATTCTTCGTCGTCGTGGTAACCTGACACCCCAGACAGATATTCGCAAGGAAGGGAGACAAGCTGAAGTTGAATAGACTGTAAGAATTCACAGTAAAACAGCAAGTCGGGACAATAAAAGTGTGATCGTATGATATCGTGGCGGGGTGGCAATCACATTGCGCTACAATAAAACGGATGAACTTTATCTAAGGCGAATATTTTGGAAAATTATTCCAAAACATCCACATAGTATCACATCATTCATCGTTCAGCTGTAGTACCTTTTCAGGGCCTAGCTACCATACCAACGGAAAGAGGCACGACGGCTGGGATACTGCCAGATTGCCCAAGTCTAGACAGGAGCAATCGAGATGCTGAGGTTGGGTTCGAACCACGTACCCTCCGTGTCGTGGGCTGGCGCCTTAACCACTGAGCTATCTCGAGCTCATAATATCGCAATATCTGCCTGGTAGGCGCAACAAAGGGGACTGAATTGAAAGACGGTTCAATTGCAGTGACATTTTGGTCAGAAGTAGCAATTCTAGAAAGGACAACTCTCTAAGGCAAGCAACGAAAAAAAGGAGATATCAGGAGTCATTCTACTGAGACCACAACTGTCCCCTTAATCCGAGAACGTGGTAAAGCAGGATAAAGGCCCGATAAACCAGGTCACGCGCAATCGGATAAGAATCACCACCGAGCCTTTATTCGTCATTGAAACCTTCAAACTTTTGTTGCCGGGTTTCCGGCAATTAGTTGCAACCGTAATTCCTACAGTACAATGTTACACCACCGCCTTCGTCTGCTCTTTGCACGCGCCGAACTCTCCAGCGTCATGCATAAGAGTGTACATGAGTGCAGCGATAACGAGGAATTTTTGGCCGAAATGAAAGCGAGCTACAAAACAGGGATTGATTGGCTGGGAAAAAGCAATGCCTGCACTCCAATCGAAGCTGAGACTAGAATGTAAAACGGTATAACCGGGTTCCACTGGTCCTATATTTGTTTCCTTGAGTTACTTCGAATATGTGACGAGCTAGAGAGGAAAATATGACCAATATTAGAGCGATATGGGAATTAATTAACAGGATCAGAATGACCGAGAGCTCGAGTGAGCTCATTGGTTTTGCGAGCCTGCAAAAATGTTTCGCAACCATTCAAAGAGCCATTGTCAGTGTGCGATTGGCTGCGTGACCAACAACCAATCAAATGCAATGCCACAAACAGAAGTCAGATAGACAAATCCAGGTCCATGAGGTTCTAATTGTAGATTTGAGCATTATTGATTGTTTACAGCAATCACTTGTGCCACGTTGAGTTACGCGCAAAACCCAAAAAGTCAAATCGTTCAAACGGAGGTTTATCAATAAATACCGTACTATGAATACAACAAGGTAATACTAAAACTGAACAAACCTCAAATCGCAGGACTACGCCAGTTTAGGAAATGCTAATTCCCAACAGGATCCAAAAGTGCATATTGACTCAAGGCAAGGTGGCCACAAGATAGCAAACCCACGTTTGTTTAAACAAAACGTACAGTGAAAATGGTCAAACAGCGGTTTACGGTACACGCACAAAACGCGGAATGACGTTGTACAGAATAAGAATAGAAGAATCAACAGTAACCAGGGAACTGACGGTTTTCGGGAATATCGTACAATGAGACAAACATTTTGGGACAGAAGAGATCTACAAAAATACGACGGAGTTAAACACAGCCGTACGTGATTTCCAACTCAAACTGTATGGATGGACAGCCATTAAAAATCCCCGATTACAGACTGTAAACAGGTTGGCTGTGAAAGATGCTCTCTAGTGGGTGATAATGATGATATTCCCCGCGGGCTTTCCCTCTAGTTGATCTTTCAGACTGTTCAGCTGCTGACTGAATAGTTCCCTGAATTTGGCGATTTCGTTGCAAACGTTGTATCATCAATTGAGGTGATATCATGCGTACTCTGTTGTGAAGGGCAGCGAAATGGTGCGTGGTACCGACGATACCATTTTGTTGGTGACGAAAGGCTTGCAACAAAATCGTCAATATTCTCCTCTAAGGTGTTCAGAAGTTGGTTGCATATGTTGTGTCTTCCCACTTTCCTTGTAGTGGATTCAAGAACTTTTGAGAGGGAAAATAATGGCTTACATTAAAAAACATTCTCCCTATCTGTGCGCACAATATGAACTAAAAAGATCGATCCACCGTTGTCTAGACGTAACACACTACTCATAAGGCTGCGGTCTGGTACAACAACAGAACTGTATATTCCGTTGAAGCGGGACAACATAGACAATAGATCCAGCTGGATCCAGTTGAGTCACCTATTTGGAATCAAATTCGTGTACAAACGAGCGTATTTGTCGAAGATTTAACACTGTTGGAATCCTACAGGGGGAATTTAAGTTTTCCACGTACAGATGTTTCGTCCATCGACAATCGCGGGACAACTGAATGTCAGCGCAGCACGCCTGACCTCATGCTGACCCGAAGGTGGGTGTTGTCGGGTAATCGAATGAGATACGCGCGTAGACTGACGAGTACAGTGAGGTAAACATCCTGGCGGTAAGCTGATGGTCATAAGAGATAGCGTGAAAGAACCATCGTTTGCTTACGATGATGAGGTTCTATCTGAAGATTTTACAAGGCCAAACCAAAAATATTCACTGGTCGTGATGGTATATTGGGACTGAAAAACCGATGTTTCTTTGATTCTTTTTATCGATACCAGTTTGGCAATTCATATTCTCGGAATGAACCACGCACTGGTTCAGCGAAAAGTGCAAATTAGCAAATTAGTACTTTTGTTCCCCCTCCCAGATCCCTCAGTTTACTAGCTATTTAGAATGCCTCGTATGGTAGCATTTTTGAAATCCAGTGCAATTTCGAAATGTCTAAGGCGCAGAGTAATTTTGCTCTGTAATTCAAGATCCGACTTTTTCAGAGGAAAAATGATAAACCAGGAACGATTATCAGAGCAATGATCAAGTTGGGATACAAAAGTTGGGATCAAGCGCAGTTGGGTGAAGCACTCCCCTCACTCAGTGGAGTGTTTGTTAGTATACCGATCGTTTCCTTTAGCACATTGCCTAGTGTCTTTCAGCTTTCCTGAGAAAACCACTCCTCCACACACCTTCCTTTACCGCCAGTCTATGTACTGCTTCAAATCCGCCAGTAACAGATGTCCCGTACAGTGCTTTTGGAATCACGTCTGGTTGGTCCGATACTTGATACTGTTTTATTCCAAACTGACACAGAGACGAAAACGTGCCTATGCTGGTGGATTACATAACTGGAACTCTTCATAAGCATCGAAGGCTTGCATAAGCCCAAAAATTTGGTGGAAAGGAGCTATATAGCAGGAACAAGTTGGGTCTGTGTGTAACTGATCCCAATTTTCAGAAAGACCGCGGGTATTATGGTTGAGAGGCTGGGGGAAGACGCCACCTTCCACGGAAACAAAGCGAGAGAAGCCGTGGTGAGATTTTTTGCGAGTCAATAAACTGCAGAGATTTATACTGAAAAAAATCGAGCGAGAAAGATGACAGAAGTAGAGTGGTTAGTGAACAGTCGCACTGTCTGTTATCTGAACAGCAGCCGACAATAAGCTATTGGTGTAAAAAATGAAAACAGTGGAGTCCGTAAGGAAAACCCATGCCGGTGTTTGGAGTTGGAGAAACCATGCCTTCAAGCGCACCTGAATAGGATACCCATTTGACCAGGTTGGGGAGCGCAATATATATGGAACTTTGGGAGGAGATCCATGATATCAAAAGGAGCCGCCTCTGTTTGACCAAATGACTTGGAAACGAGTGGCCATAAGAGAGATACATGGACTAAAATGTTACGATGACGTGCTCACGACCGCTGGGGAGGGGGACTTCTTCCAGATGGCAGAAAAAATACTTGGAAAGAATGGATCTCAGAACTTTGAATAGGAATGGAAGATTGAAACTGAAAGAACTACCATTCGGAACCACATTTGGGAATGGATAGGCCATACAAATTCTTTCAGGACGACGGCAGACGCCTGAAGATGCATAATTTTTTTGGTGGTTGGGGCAATTTTCCTAACAAATTCCGGGGATCACGTGGTCTAAAGGTGCCGAGATTTACCAAACAGTGCCCAATACACCTCGTGGTGACCGAAGGCAACTGGAATTCGGTTGGTGAAAGAGGATGAGCAGTTGAGGGGTTTTGAGTAATGTTTGATGATTTCCACATTTTCTATTGGCACGGGAAGCAAAATTCCAATAAAAGTCGAATATACCATGGGAAAAGGACGGACAGGCTGATTGTTTTCGCTATCTTCTAGAGTGATCAACTTCCAGCTGGTGCGTTCAACAGTTGACCAGACTTTTGAATGATGGCTCCGTCGATTCAGCTGTCCCAAAGTTGCGAGAGGCAACGTAGTCCGTGCGTGGTAAATAAGGGGAATTCGTTAACCACTGTCTGGTGATTCTGTTATTTTTAAACCACACGAATATATCCATGATTAAGCCATTCAAGAGACAGCTTGGGTGGGGAATAGACTGGACCATACCAACACAAAGAGCAACCATGACCAGCTCGGCAAAAATCGTTAGGTGAACAACGGTCCGAAGGACGGGAGCAGAACGGCTACTTTTCAAGTCACCTGAAAGGTACCTAGAGAAAATACGAAGACATGGGAGCATGGATTTTACGAGTAACACCCGACAGAAATGTGCGATAAGACAAACGCCAGAGCCACAGGAACAAGAACAGAGAACAAGGTAGAAATGACACTTCATCACAAATTATTCTACAAGTTGAGCAGTGTCACCGTTCCAGACAAGCCTCGTGTACGAAAGAAAACAGGACGGTGACAGGAAAGATCTCGGCCTCACGACCCAAATGGCCTATTTGAAGGGAAAAGAGTTAACACTTCAGATTACGTAGCTTAAAAACAGGGAGACTGAGAGAGTTCTGCTGTCGACCAGGACTGAAGAATGTACTCACAGATGACATCTCACATTGGACAAAAGAAGATGGACAAAACAGGAGATGTCTCAGTGGTTAGAGCGCGAATTTACTGATCAGAAGATCCGCGGTTCGAACCCGACCTGTGCATCTCGACTGTTTCTGTCTAAGCTAGAGAAACCTGGCAGCTCTCGTGCTTCCTTCGGGTGATATGACAACTAGCCGCCGAAGGGGTGCTACAGCTGAACGATTAGCTTTATTATTATCTCACCAGAGTAAATCACAGTCACAGGGTGTTGAACACTTCGCTGGATAAGCCACATCCACGATGTTTGTCTGCAGTGACAACTCTCTCTGTTTGTCTTTATCACTCATCCGACACTGAGGAGAATAAAAAGTAATGCACTTAAAAGGCGTGTAGAACTCAATGCCCATGTTCACACGAAACCCATGGTGAACTTTCAAACTGACCAAAGTGTAGGGCAGGAGAGAGTTGATGGATTTACAAATGCAGTACAGAATCACGACGCCTACCTCACGTTGAATACAAGACCATACGTAGTCTCCACTCAATCCGTCCAGATCACGCAACGATCTGTTTTTAAACTGAAATGAATAAAAGTAGTTATCAGTATGATGCGCCAAACCGAAGAGATGACAACCATAAACGGCGTAATACAAACGTTAGGCCGAATTAACAAAAATCAGCAGCGGAACCACATGAACAGTCACGCAGTATAATATGACAAACCATCAGAGTAGGTGTAGTTCAAGCGGTTCGGACAAACAGTCAGCAACCAAGTGGTATCTATGTCCGAATTTAGAGAGCGATATGAACATTGGTGGTACAGAGTGACGGCGAACTAAGTGATGTTTCCGTCTGTGTGTCTAGAAACATGAATAGAAAATATCGTGGCTGAGAGCGACCGCTCCGAGCAATCAGCTGAGATGAATCACGGTCACCCCTGACAGGTTGTCCGTCTGTTTCATTAACGAGAAAAGGTAAGATAAGTAATGGACAGTGAACTGGCGCACAGATGGCTTGTCTAGTCAACAAGCCGATGGTAACATACGGGTAGGTAACCAGCTAAGAGAGATAGGGATGAACGGCGTGAATCATGTCAAGTCTAGTCAATTTATCGTACCGATTACGATAGACAAGAGGAAATGAATGACCTCGAGAATAGGGAACCGGTGAACTGAAATAAAGGTGTGAGCCAGTTTAGGTATAAAAGAAACAGGCAACCAAGTACGAGTTCACAGGAAGCAATGCGATCCGGTACAACTCGAAATTAAGAATGAGAGCGGACATTTCATCGCACAGGTTGGGAGGGGAACGTAGTCCACATAACTGAACCTAGCGTATATCTTCTCTGAGGGAGAATGAGTCGAGAACAGCATTAACAGCAGTCAGTGCGGGAAGACCAAAACTCTCAGCACCCAACAAAGTGGGAGATTCATATCACGAAAAGTGAGCAAAATTGATTGAATGTGACGATGACGTTTCCGAAACCAGCAGAATGGTCATGATAACAGCTGATGCATGTGCGGGCAGCCACAATACAATAAATTCACGCAACACATCGATCAACATATATCAGTGGAGGAAAATGTGTTTAGATAAAGCATCCTAAGCCTATACTACTCGTCGGCGTACCCAAAACGGTTGCGAAGCTACTGGGAGCCATACAGCCTAATTTCAATTCGTTTTTCAGTGAAGAAGACTGCTGTGCGAGGGTTAATCCTAAAGATGCAGAAGTAGCTAACACTAATTCTACATCACTCAGAACTAAATGTTATGCACAGGTAAACTATCTTGATGGCAAAGCAGCATTCGCTAGAGCATACTTTTTGTGTAATTTGATGAAAACTTAATGCAAGACTGTTCCTCAGTCACCGCTATTAACGCCGCTAGTCGGTGACTTCTCGAATATCAGACGATGCCGACTAAATCGACGCAGGACGTTGTTGGCCTACACAAACCGCTGACCTGACCCTTGGACTAGAAATGGGCATCTGTGCAGAAGGTCCATGAGCGAAGCAGACTCAAAAACCATGCACCGGAACTTACCACACTGGCTACCTTCATCGTACGGATGACCAGCTGACAGGCTCGGGATTGCATGAAAAGAGTGTCGAAAACGAGTTGCAATAAATCGACCAAATAGCCGGGCGAAGCAATCTCAGAGAGCAGTTTGACATCACCTTGTGATATAGCCCTTTCAAAGGAAGAAGTCGGGAAAAAAACTAATCGGTCTATTCAACGAGAATGGAATGGCTGGTAACAAATCTAATCTTACCAAGGATACGCAGATGGAATCGGTGAAGCAAGACACAGCAAGTGAGGAAAACAGATGGGATAGAGTACGGTAATAAATGATGGAGACCGCTACTCACTTGGATTCGACCACGCTGACTGCTTTGAGTACGATGAACCGATGTATTTCGCCCAAGAGACCTTGGCCGGGAATAAGAGGTCCTGAGAAAACATCCGTTTTTTGCGGGGCACTTAGGGCGTGTTGCAACTGGGCTAGGTGAGACTGAGGGCACCAGGCGTTCAGAATCTGAGGATGAAAACGATAAAAATGAAAGTCACTGAGGAGTGGAAAACTGTCATACGAACTGTGCTCAAAACTATAGCAGCTACACTTCACAGCACACAGGGCGTTAAGTTACGCTATTAACTGAGTGAGAATCTGTCGCCAGCACTATTATTGTGAAATACAGAGCGGTCTCTAAGTATGCTACTGTGTCAAACGGTGCCGAAAATATCTCGATATATCTACTCACAGCTTGAGGTTTGGAACGTGGAGCACTTATTGCTAAGAGTTTTCACAGCAATCAAGCTCAAGTTCTCATTAGAGGAATAGATAAAGGTCATCGGGAAGCCGGGTTTTTATGCTCTCTTAAATGAGGAATGAGAAAAGAATAAAGACAAGTCTGGTGTCCTTACGTGTGTTCACAGCTAGTTGAGTAGAAGGACCAAAGGTGATCAACTAGGATGCCATGCGGGTAGCACACAGACTCCCCTATACATCTAGCGATGGACTACGGATGTCACACTGGAAAAATTCGAGGTCAGAAAGACTTTTTCCACACTTGAACAGTAGCAGTGGGGTGCATGCTTCCAGACGGGTCTTTCAGATCTTTTTTTCTTAGATTTAAATTCTTTAACTCAAAATGGTTAGGAGTACTTCCACTGAGATTGGAATTATGATCCCAGTGCAAGACAAGCCGCAAAGTAAGGAGATAATCAATCTGCCGTCAGACGCATAGGGTGTACGCAGCACATGTCAACACCATGTGGTGCTAGGTCCCGAGGTCGTAATTCGCAGACTGAGGGTAACAAAAAGTTGTGGTATTAGAATTTCAAAATTATTGTCTAATTAGTCACACGGCTGGGTTTCTATTGATTACTTAATCTGATGCAATTGTTCACGTCCCTGAACTGAGTGCAAAAGACTCTATGTAAATCGACCGTTTCCATGTCAGTAGATCGAGATCAGCTCCGGAAGCTCGTGGGGATGAACCCGGCTCAAGCGTCAGGACGACTAGCAACAATTATGATGTTGCATCCCTTGAAAGTTGTTTCCAAGAGGTGACTAGACCCGATTAGCGAATATATAGAACTTCGGTGCCGCGGTACAAGAAATATTGCCTACTTACAAAGTACTCAGTAGCGAAAACACTCGGCGCTTACAGCATCACCGGTACCGCAGGTCCGGTGCTGAGACTTCCCGTCAGTAAACAGGCAGTGCGCTCATCCTCCATCCTCAACAGCATCCGGAGCGGAACTGCAGTCATCAGACGTGTCATGCGACTGCGGTTCTTGCTACTATAACCGCATAAGCTAAACGCACCTAAAAAAAACTTGCACTGCAGTGACGGCCCCTGCATTCAGTCCATTTTAAAAACTTCATGACAGGATAGTGAATTTCAACCATTTCGTGAACCACGTCAGCTGTTTAGATACAGTCAGATTAAGGGTTAGAGGAGGATGACGGATAGATAGTTGACGGAGCACAGGCCATCAGACACCGCAACAAGATGGCTGAAATTACTATGGCTGTAAGCATGATTCAACGTCGGCCTTACCAAGCCAAAGTAAGGTTGGCCATAAGTTCCAGCTGTTTAAAAAAATTGGTTCATAGGGCCATTTGAGTAAAACAGGATGCATGGTTTCAGAGAGGTCTGGTTAACAACCAGTGGATTTATTTCTCACTGTTGGTGTAGTTAAAGGATCGCCTCGTGGGTAATAGGACTAGGAACTGCATAAAAAATGAAATGTAACGGCTTTACGAAGGTTTATATAGGTCAGACAGCCAGAGAATTGCACACCACAATCGGTGGACATAAGTGATGCATTAAAAGGCCATCGAGGAAAGCAGGCGATGGTGAAAGACTCAGTGATGGAGGGCATGCACTGGATACTGGACACAGGGTAGATTTGAGAAATGTGGACATTCTGAGACGGCGACCAAGATTCACACCACAGTGACTGGTGACCGAGGCGGTGGAAATCGTCAAGCATCCAAGCGTAAATAGAGAGTGTGGATAGCGGTTTTAGATCAGCCGAGATGGCACGGAGAGGTGTGCCGTTATCAGCAAAATGTTCTAAGTCTAAAAGCACTAAATCCAAGCAGAGTAGGATCCAATGAACCAACCTCATCACCCAAACCCAAACCACCTGTCCTGGTACCCTCGACGAACAGAATCTGTGAACGACCCCAAGAGGAATATTCCATTGGGGTGTCCTAGACGGAAAAAGCTAGGCCGTAAAATCCTGATTGCCTTAAAACCCAATCAACCTGCTTACTTTCTTGGCCTGACGAAGCTCTTGTGCTAAAAGCGAAACGTTACCTAGCAATAAATCCACAGAATGTTCACCAAACCTCTGTGAAATGACGACTACCTAATCGATCCCAAACATTTTCCAATTGATCGGAATGCGTGGTTGTTTTCCTGACACTTTATGACTGAATAATTTTCTCGGTTCCTTGCGATCGTTACAATCCGACAACTGGGAAACGACTGCACTAGACGGGACTTTGAAGCTATCAGGTGTCAATTTCTCTGGAAAGAGCCTAGAAATTCTTGTAGATAACCTTAGCTTGGTTGTTCCGACGCACTTGCCACCGCAAGTACACTGAAAAGGGTGTAGATACGAGGGTGTAAACAAATAATTCGGTTTTTCCAGGTTGCTTTTCCCAAGCACTTTGTTCAGCACTACTGAAGTCAGCGTTGAGTGCTCTCGAGGTAGTCTGACACAATCGCAACCACACACTTCTATCTCTGAACAGTGATGTGATGAAAGCTGTTCCACATACTGTTCAAAAGCTTTTTCCTACTTGTCGATGAAGCTGGTGGGATAGCCGCTTTCCTGTAGTAGGGCTGAGATATTCGCAATATTCCCTCCTTAGGTCCCATCAGAAGGAGTTTCTCTGGAAGACGTACCTTAATAGACAAAGAATTTCGACAATTGGCTGTCTTCCTGTCCAGGTTGTTTTGTTGAATGTCGATCTAATGAGTGACTCATCTTCTTTTGTTATCATCTGGACGTATAAGAAGTGGAAAGACTCTCCTTCCCCATGTCTAACCGTGAATTCAAGGCGTGGGTGACATCTAATCAAACATTGCAGCATCTGATGCGAATGTAAACTGTAGAACAACAGAACTGCCCATTCAGTTGAAGAGGACTATGGTTAACGAGAGAACCAGCTGGGTTCAGTTGCGTGCAAATGAGAGCGTTTCTCGAAATCTGTCCAATTTGAGTTCGAGTACAACATAAGGCTCACAGAAACTCGGGGACTGCGCCTGACTGATCAGCCCCAAGAAAGGCGAAACCGATGGCGAGTTGTTTTTATGAGTAGTGAACTACGTCCAGAACTGCGCATCTATAGCACATAAAAGAAGCAAGGGTCAGGGACGATGAGTATGGCTATTCAGTTCACTGGCATGTGTGGAGTCTATCAACTGTCCTCGCAAGAGGAGGGTTTGTAAAAACGGAACACACATCAAATGAGACCGTACGTTTCTGAGAGACATTCGAATTTAGCATCGTATCGACATACTCAAACGAATCTTTTAAGCTGCATGTGGCTAGGTTAATTCTGATTTTCCGAAGCAGCGGCAGTTCGATGCTACAGACCCAATTTGTGTGGCCAGCCTTATCCTGTCTTCCTAAAGCCGACAATGAACCACGCCAACAGCCCTAGTACTTTTATCCAACCTGTACCGGGGTCTGATGGGCTTTATTTATAATTTTTTCACAGACCAGTGTGCTTGTCCGTCGAATTATCTGTTCATTATTCTGGTCTAACACTGATTTTGATTGCGTGTAGACAGCTGATGAGCTACGCGAAGTAGTTTGATTCAATCTATCCTGCTTTTTCTCGCCCACTTTGAATTTCAGTGATATCAATCACGGGTTCCGACCGACGATCCACTTGTTAGGAATTCCAGATCAGGTAGCGCTGGGAATGTATTAACTCCATGAAAATTCCAACACTCATGGGCACCGTTTTGAGTTTCGTTGAACCTCTAACACGTGCAAAGACGTTCATCCGTTTGGAGAAGATAGCCACGCAAATCTAACGTGAGCTAGCAAGAGGGTAGCCATGCACTTATCTCAAACATTATGTGAATGGAATTCGAAGGTATGGCTGGAAAAATGCTACTAGTGAGGGAAAAACTTGAATATAAATCGGTCCTTCAATATAACGCGACAAAGGTGAAGCCGTCATGTTCACAAGACTTCCTGAGACAAGGGGCGTCCAAAAGACAGAACAATTCATGAGCTAAAGAGAGAAAAAACAGCTTCAATATAGACAAAGGCGAAGCCGTCATGTTCACAAGACTTCCTGAGACAAGGGGCGTCCAAAAGACAGAACAATTCATGAGCTAAAGAGAGAAAAAACAGAATGTCGTGGCAGGCCTACTTGCGGTAACCGGTCCAGTTGGGCCAGGCAATGCGTTATAGCCACCAGTTCACGAATCCATTCCGCTTCGGATAACTGTGCAGTCCGTTTAGGGAGGGTTTGATCCATACCACCACCGTCGGCTGTCGCCGTCGCAGCGCGTGCAGCAATCGCTGCGGAAACAGACTGAGGATTTTTGCGCAGGTTCGGATCCGCTGTTGGTTGAACCACGCTGACAGTATGCCAACTTGCCAGGGGTAGCGTAGCAAATCGAGCAGGGTCGATCGTGCGAGATAGTAGGGAACTCTTTTCAGTGTTTTCACTAGGTGAAGGGTTAGGTAAAAACGATGTAAGCCGGGAAGAAAAGCTCTTTTCAGTGTTTTCACTAGGTGAAGGGTTAGGTAAAACAATGTAAGCCGGGAAGGAAAGAAGGACGATGCAGCGCGGGAATCAAAGGATACCTTGAGAGCACGGAGCAACAATTTTGAAGTTATGTGGATAATATCGGATGCTACAAGAAAAATTTGAACCTGTGGACAGGTCTAAATCCTGTTTAAACTTGCACAAATAAACATTGCTTGCGTGGTAACATCAAACAAGACAATGAACAAATAAGACGTTGGTACTCTCATCTGGACGGGATGAAAAATGATTGAGTCGTCAACCATCACACCACAAGGAAGAAGTTACGTGACACCAATTACAGTTGTGCACTCAGAGCTGCCTAAATTCAATTGCCAAAAGTTTGTTGCCGACTGTGAGCATGGATGCCTGTTAAAACCAGACAAATTTCGATCAATTTCCCGGAACCTTTGACTTTTAGATGGTTGGTTGAGAGTGATGGCTAATTTGCAGAGAAATATTCGAAACGGTCTTGTCATTGGTCTGGAATTTTAGTCACTACTATAATGAGGTCTCCAAGCCCAGCAGGAAAACCTGATTCCGAGGACGGATTCTCCACACACCAGAGGTCTCATTCAAACGTAGAGTCCAGGTCTGACCAGGTCATCTCAACTAGACAGGAGCAATCAATAACTGAGAGACGGAGATCCAGTCGCGACCATTTCTATTCAGTTGGGTACGCACCGAGACCTTCGTCATTCGGAAAGACCTTGACGGCGATGTCCTCAAATGAGCATTTTGTATGGTCGACACCGACAGTAAGATCATCTTATTAGGCCACTCGTTCAGCAATCCGATGAGGTATGTGTCGATAAACTAAGCCAGAGCTTGCGATCACAAATGTTTGGACAGCTGCGAAATTAGGAGCCCGTACTCAACTTCTGAGTGAGGTAAACGGTTCGTCAGTTTGGGGTTTCCATATTTACTGTCGGACAGTAAAACCAGCGGACACATTACTGTCTGAGAAGAGGAAACTTCTGTAGTCTTTTGTTTCTTTAAACTGTTCAATCATCGCCCGGTGCACACAGAGGTAGCCATCAGATGGAGAAATCAATACTATCAATCAATACAGCCAACTGCAGCACACCCTCGAGAATGTGAAAGTAATCCAGTACATATATGCACGCGCCGGTTGAACAGACAGCATTGTGAGACAATACAGAAAAGGAGATGACCAATATGGGTTTTCTTTAACCTGATCATCTACTATCACCACTGCGTGCTGAGGACGTCAAAAGACTTTCAGTGTTTGACCATCGATGTCTTCGGGGCATTGCCCGAGTCTGGTGGAAACAACGGATCAGTAATGTTGAAGTTCGTCGAATAGCTTTCGGAAGAAATAACTCGCTCTTTTTCAAGGACGCGCGGAGGGTAAAAACGAGCCAGGGCCAAACAATGACTTGACAGCGAAGTAAAAAAGCCGTTGCCAGCAAACTCAGCTGCGCCGGTCATTGCTGTCTTCCTGGATGGGGACCCCGAGACGGGCCAAATCAATGGTTGGAGACATTGTCAGATATGGCCTTCAATAGATATCTCCCTTCCCAATCCTCTCACTTAACCGTACTGCATTTACGCAGCAATATATCAGCTCCCACCTCCAATGCGCAGCTACCTACCCTATCTCCCCAAATGATCGGTGAACGAAACTGTGGTAGCTACAACCACTGTACGACAAGTACGCGGTTCTTACAGCTCAAAATGATGATGATGAGCAATCGTTGTATCCCTAGATACCTGGATTCCTTCGGAACACACTCGACAGGTAAATGAACCAAACTAGGCAAATGAACTGCGCTAAGTGGTGTCTAGAAAACCTTTTCTGCCAACTTTCCTCTTCGACCTCATTATTGATACCGTTCAGTTGCAGAATCCTTTCAGTGCTTAACTTCCATGCCACCAGAAGGAAGCACGAGGACTGGGATACTACCACACTGCCCAAGCCTAGACGGAAGAAGTCGAGAGACAGAGGTCGGATTCGAACCACGGACCTTCCGGTCAATGAATTCGCGCTCCAACCACTGAGTCATCAAGGTATATTTACGCTGAAAACTTGTTAGCTGGAGCCGAGCACCAAAACCCATTTATCGCTTGCAGTTACGGGCTTCTATGGTCAAGAAGCTTAACTGGCGTGTGATTGGCCTGAAGGTTGGGCCAGTACCAAGCTGATCTCCGATTGGACCCAACAGTCAATGATGACTCAGTACCTACCGGATGCTGGTTGCAAACGGTGCGTCAAGAAGGCGTCAGAATTTCCAGAATATTGTTGCCCCATGCACTTTGGAAACAACGTGCGTACAAGTATTTTTGCTCTGGTTTTGGGCATTTACTACAAGTGGTGCACCTTTGGTCGTTCTTCTACAAAAACGCTAACTTGCAGGTTCATACCGAGAACTGAGCAAAGGCATTGCTGTTATTACAAAACTACAGTTAACGATATGGAATGGAATCAGAGTAGATGCTTCCTAGTAAACTGGGTAAACTACGAACAAGGTGCCCCCCCCCCGCCCACGTGGGTGCATCCCCGGGGCTCGAATCCCACTAGGAAGTAAGTAGATTTCTCCAAGGTCTTCTTTGTTGCACTACTTAGAGCGGTTTATCACTAGGAGAAAAGGCGATTATCAGCGAGAAAAATGGGAGCATTGGATAACAAATACACAAAGCCTAAAAACACAGTAGGTGAGGAAATCGACTTCATCAGGACTTACGACTTGTTGCTCGATGAGAAAAGTCCGCCAGTACCCGGCTTTTTCAAACGTTTCAGATACTTCTCCACAACCAACGCAAGTGGGCGTTCGTAGATTAGAGACCGAAGTTGCTTTTGCAAGTGGTCCACAATGAACTGCGAGTATAAGATGGTGAACAACAAAAAGGTATATTACACCTCGTGCCCGAATAGCCTCTAGAAGAGAAGCCATGTTTATTTGCCCATAGGCGAGAAATTTCCTTGTACATGAGACACCACTTGGTTTTGTGAGAAATATGAGCCCGTGGGTACCGATATGGTTAATCTGACTGGTGTTCTGTGGGTTGTAAACGTCACACAAACCTTTGAAAACCTTTCCCATTGTGTTGTTAGGGACAACACAGACTGACTGAAGGGGGACTTTTCGATATCCCACCAGCAAACGCATATGTTGATATGTACACATATACATAAGTGCGTATATAATATATATATATATATATATATCTTGAAGACAGAACAAAATCGACAAAATGTTACGGTCTCAGTCACAGTGATGTTCCATAGTCAGAGATCAAACTGTGGTCAG